CAGAGTGTTGGGTTTGCCTGAACTGAGCCTGATGCCAGCTCAGTCTGACCTTGACCTGGTCCTAAATCAGAGCCTCCTTCATGATGCCCTTGGGGGTGACACGAGAGTTCCCAAGAGCAACGAGGAGCTTGTGTGTATACCTAACACGTACCTCACCGGTGTGTAGCGCATGGCATCCCTTACCGTCTCCTCAGAACCAGGCCCATGAGGAGACTTGTTGTCTTATCTGTGACCTCACCTTGGGTAGAAACCTCAAACTTTCTCCTTGTCTGTCATCACCCTGGGCCACCACTCTGCTGGCCAGGCCTGTGGACCCAGGAGATTTTGAGGGGTTGGGGCCATCAGCAAGCCACAACACACTGTCCAAACACTCCTGCCACTGCCTGGAAGAATGCACAGGAAAGTGGCCTGAGGAATTTCCCTTAAGCAAACAAAGGTTTCCATCTCTTTTCATCTTGACAGGTCTGGAAAAATCTCTGCTTTTGTTGTCAGGCATTCCCACCATAGCTATAGGTGGGAGAAGCAACAGCTCTGGAGCCACAGCAGTTCCGGTGGGAAGCCCAGGGCCCCGCCAGAAATAGCAGCTCCAGCCCCTGTGCAGCCTGCTTCCTGCCAGGCTGCGGGACCATTTCCTGTGCTTCTAATTTTTCCAGGAGAGGAGGAAGCGGGGAGAGACCAACAGTGACCTGTTCCTGGCAGATGTGTTTGCCTACCAGGGGAAGTTCCACGAGGCTGCCAAGCTGTATAAGAGGAGTGGGCATGAGGACTTTGCACTTGCCATGTACACAGACCTATGCATGTTTGAGTATGCCAAGGTAATGGCATGGCCCCAGCCAGGCAGCCACCATGTCCAGGCTGTGCCCAGAAAAGTGGTGCAGACCCCAACAGCCCTGGGCTTGGGAGGGGTGGGGTCCTTCAATGACAAAGGCTCTGGCTACTGTCGCAGGTTGAGCCTGAACAAGGCTGACCTTGAAGGTTGACTTAAGAGGATAAAATGTGACAGACATTGGTCATCAACCAGCACAGTGCCTTTGGAAAGTATCTGGGCTCCTAGCTTTGGAAACATCTTCAACAAGTTCTCCCCAGCTTTATCGGGGGCCAGTGTCCTTGGACATGAGCTGGCCTTCCAGCACTTGGTCTTAGTGCACCCGGATTCTGAGGAGCCATGACAGTCCCCACCCTCCATTGATAGCACAGGGCCTGCAGGACTCCAGAAGATGGGGTGGTGGGGTCCCCACTTTGGCTCATCTCTGGCCAGTCTGGTATCCTAGTTAGGGGGTGCCTTTGTTAACCTGTCTTTGCCTGGTGGCCCAAAGCAAGTCCTTAGCTACAGCCAAATTGTGGCCACGAATGACCAATATGTCAATCATAAGTCCAAGGCAGAAAAGCTCCCCAGCTGTCTTTCCCCAGGGTGGCTGTTTTCCTTTTTCTCTCCTAGCTGGCTGGTGTTGGGCTGCAAGCTACATCCTCCATCTTGTATGGGTGGGCGCCTCCCTCACATGCCACAGGGCCCTTTGCCTGTCTCACGTTAATGTCCCTTCCCTCTGCCATGTCCCCATCACATACCTGCAAAACTCCATGGGACATTCACATTGAGAACACCACACTTGGTGCATCTCACCTGGGGACAAATCCTAAAGAGCAGGATGGAGTCCCTAAAGGTAGTGCTTAGGCACCAGGACAGGCGTCCTGGCTGTGCTTCAGGACTGGAGCCTTTGGAGACCCCAAGGAGCCTGCCCAAGTGAGCAGTGGCATGGTCAGAAACAGCCTGATGTGGTGTCCGGAGCCAGTGTGGGTGTGGATCTCCCAAGAGGCATGTGAGGCTCCCTGCACTATGCCCTACTGCCCCCAGAGATGAGGGCTGCAGCCTGGGTCAGGCCTCAGGAGGCACAGCGAGTAATGAAAGCTGTGGGAAGAGAAGAGGGGGACGAGGGGGGATCACCACGGTGTGGGTGCCCATGGGTCCCCCCTGGCCCTCTACCCATATTCTGCATCCACATCCTCCATCTGATCTGACTCTCTTTAAGGTAAATACACTAGGCCTGTTTGGGGGTTTAGTTTTTGATCACAATCCAAGTAGGTTGGTTCCATTTCAAGCTGCCCTCTGCACCTCCCCGCCCCCCATGGCCTGAATAGGAGAAACTGTGTACATGCCCATTACGCCGGGTGGGGAGATACAGTGCTTATTAACATGCCATGTTTTTGTTTACTTGAAAATTGCTTCCCAAGATTCAATCTGGTTTTTGGAAAATTTTTAAATTACATTCCCACGTACAAATAAATTGTATGCTTTCCGGATAAGTGACATGTTTATATGGTGATAAAGGGAGTTACAGTGCTCTTAACCCCCATGTAGTGCGTCCTTATCACAATCACCAGCCTGAGAACCCTGGTCCGTCTCATTCATCACTCAGCACGGCCTCGTTCTGTCCACTTCAGGACAAAGTCTTTGCCTTGGCCCCAGATAGTGTGTCAATTAGCTTCGTGGAACCAGAAGGCCTTTAGAAACCCAGTTTGCAAGTCTCAAGGAGACAGTTAGACTTGGTGTCCATTAAGTCACAGTCCTGAGCTGGACTGCTGGTGGGGAACAGGCATATCACAGGCACAGTCCGCTGCAGAGACCACCCAAATGTGTGCCCCAGCCTCCTACCTTCTGCCTGCTAAGAACCCATCCGGCAAAGGACATTTCTGTTCTCTGGTGAGGCTGTCCCCTCTGCCCCTGCCTCTAACTGTAGTTTAACTACAGGTGGGCAGTCACCAGCCTTGTGTGGGCACAGGGTAATACTAGGACCAGAGTGTGTCTGCGATGGCCTGCCAGTCCCTCTGTGCTGGCTGGAAGAAACCATAGCCAGGGAGGTGGCCTTGTCTGGTACCAGGTCCCCTTCCCCAGGAAGGGGAAACTGCCCTTCCTCCCTTCCTGAAAACGGTGGGTTCTTGGGCTGCCCTAATCTGTGATTATAGGGGCTACATAATTACCCAGGAAGCAAATGGAAAAAGAAATGAGCTAATTGTTGGAATGAGGTTTTAGCATACATTGACTGTGCTTCCCTGACAAATGCGTGCTAATCATGGGAAAGGAGTGCATTTTTATACTTTCAAGACTGGTGCATGGCACTCTCATCAGGGTACGTTGCTTTTCAGACAAACCACATTTCTTCCTGATGCAAGGCCAAGCTGCACGTTCTTGAGCTCCTTTGAAAGTCTCCCCTTTGCCACTGTCTGCACCCAGGCTGCCTCAGCCGAGGTGTCCACCTCCTAAATGGACATGGCTTTCTGAAGCTGCTTCTCCTGCACATGAGGGCTGATGACCCAGAGGAGCTGGGCAGAGGCCTGCAGCCTAGCCCTGAACCCAGGGTCACAGACCTGTATCCTACACTCCTCTCTCCAGGGCCCTGCTCACTGCCTCATTGCCCACATTCCTGGTGTCCCGCCCTGGGCCAGTTGCCTAGCCTACAGGCCTGACCTCAGAACAGGACACTCATTAGCCAGGCAGGTGCTGCTGGCCAGCTATCCCTGGCCAACCTCTACCGCCATGGGGACAGTGAAGAGGAGACTCCCAGGTTCAGGCCACAGAGCACTGGAGCAGTGAGACACAAGTAGCGCTGCCAGGGTGGAGCGGCTAAGGGAGGGTGCCGAGGCTGAGCCTAGAGCCCTGTGCATTATGGCACTTTAAGTTTAGAGCCTGGGGTGCTCGACCACAGTCTGACTTCATCCATGTGTGTATAAAGGTTGGGGACTAGCTCTTTGAGGAAGTCACACCTACGGAAGATGAGGCAGCACCTGGTCACAGTGCTGCTCTGCAGAGGAGGGAAGGAAGTCCTGAGGGCCATGGCATCCCCACAAACACCTGCGGGCAGCCCAAGGCTCACTGTCCCTGGAGGCACCAGGGACTGCCCCGAGCTCTGTCCCATGATGGGCCCCGCCTGCTTCCTGGCCGCTGTGCCTGACAATGCTGGCTCGGGAAGTCCTGACTGCAGCGGTTGTGTTTGCTGTGCTTCCGCAGGATTTCCTCAGATCTGGAGACCCCAAAGAAACCAAGATGCTGATCACCAAGCAGGCAGACTGGGCCCGAAACATCAACGAGCCCAAAGCTGCAGTGGAGATGTACCTCTCAGCTGGAGAGCACACCAAGGCCATCGAGATCAGCGGCAACCTTGGCTGGGTAGACACGTAGGTCTCGGCCCTGCTGGGGAGCACTGGGTTACATCACATCACATCACATCACATCAGCATCGTGTTTTGGTTGACAAGGGAGAATAGTATTTGCCTAAATATCCAAGCCAAAAGTACACATGATGGGTTCTCTGGGAAAAGAGGTTGAACAGTAGTCACCGCCCTTGAGGAGCCCTGAGGTCCTGGGGAATAGGGGGTAGGGACCAAGGAGGGAACATTGGGCCTCAGAGCTGCCTTCCCCTCTGGTGACCTGGCAGCATTTGATGCCCCCGCAAGCAGGGTTGGTATTTCCACACCCATCTTGCAACTGGGGAAATTGAGGCTCAAGGGACATGGTATTAAAAGGGGCTACACAGCTGGGAGGTGCAGGTGGCTATACACTCCAACCCCAGGGCTTTAGCTCCAGGAGTGCATTCTCTGGAAACCAAAGGGCAGGTGTCCTTGTGGGTCGCGGAAGAAGTCTTTGCAGGGGCCCTGGCTGGAATCAGAGGTGCAGGGGTGGGGGCCACACTGGGCCTCAATGCCACACCCATGCTTCTGGCTTGAGTTCCTTAGCAGGCATTGAGGACCAATGTCAGCCTGTGCTGGTCATGCAGCAGGAGCCTGGAGAGAATAGGTACTGAGGGGGTGAGGGTAGGTAGAAGGTAGAGCTAAGGCCTCAGCAGACGCAGGCAGGTGGAGGCTGGTTCTGAGCTCCTGGATGGTTGCCCATGCCAGCCAGGGCTGCTGCTAACGCCCCAGCCCTCCAGGTGTCCCTCTTGTCTGGACCACAGGCTGCATGCCGGATACTTGTAAATACACACACACACACTACACACCAGGTTAGGAGAGCAGCGGCTGCTGAGGCAGGCTCAGTCCTGTCCCGGAGGCTGGGGGTTGCTCTGGAAGCAATGGGAAGGCCCACAGGGCAGCAGTGGCCACGGCAAGACCAGATGGTGGCACGGCCCCTCACAACCTGCCACCCATCCTCCTCTTGTCCAGAATCAGAGGCACAGTCTCTGCCCCCAGGGGTGGCACAGAGAGAGCCAGACAGGTCTCGTGCTGCTGTCCCCTCTAGCTTTCCCTGTCACTCGTTGTCAAGTGCTGTGTGTCAGGTGAGCCGAGGACACTTGACCATTTCAGGAAGGAGACCTCAGCCTATCTGTCCCTTTCCCAGGTCTGCTGCAAAGAGGCCTCTCCTCCATGGACATCAGTTTGATGGGGGGAAGCTCTGCAGCTCTCATGGGTGCCTGTGCCGCCTTTCCTAAAATGTGGCCTTTCCCTGCTGAGCTGGGTTATTTTTAGACGCCATTACTATTCCATACACAGACTGACAGCCCTCCCGCACCTGCCTGTCTCTAGGAGGATCTGTCTCGGCTGGCCACAGCTAGTACACATTTCCTATAGCCCTGTCCCCAAGAGCACAGAAGGGCCAGTCCCCCAGGAAGATGTGGCAGGCGGCTGGTGCCCGAGGCTATTCTGGGCCCACATTCACTCCTTGTTCCAGGGACCATGCAGAGGGACTCTCATGCAAGCCTCTGCCCCTGGCTGCAGAGCCCCAGGCAGGTGCCTCACCTTCCATGCACCACCCAAGTCTTCCCATCTGTGGCATGGGAGCAGTCCCACCCCCTTCTCAGGGTTACAAAGGCTCACTGAGACCTGGGAAAGCCCATGACACCATCTTGCTACCTGGCAGTGGGTTTCGAACACTCATCTCTGTTTCCAGACCCTGCTGTGTAGATTGGGGACCCCTGTGATGGGCGCAGGAGGTGCAGGTAGATGCAGGGAGGATGGGAGCTGTGCCTCCTTCCCTCAGGCCTGCATGGCTCCTCTCTCTGGCCCAGGTTGATCGACATCGCCCGGAAGCTGGACAAGGCCGAGCGGGAGCCACTGCTGCTGTGTGCACGCTACTTCAAGGAGCTGGACAGCCCCAGCTATGCCGCGGAAACCTATCTGAAGCTCGGTGACCTCAAGGGCCTGGTGCGGCTGCATGTGGAGGCCCAGCACTGGGATGATGTAAGGAGCTATGGGAGGCCTTGGGGCTGTGCATCAGCTTAGCAGCCAGAATTCTGCCTGAATCCATGGTGGAGGGCCTTCCTGCAAAGGCTATCCCTGTCCCTTGTTCATTCAGACATCCACAAGATCTTCACCTAGCTGCCAGCTGTGGGCCAGCAGGCTACGGGCATGGGGCTGAGAGTGTTGGCCTGAACCACCTCCAACCAGCACCATAGGCTCAGAGCACCATTGATGAGACAGACCTGTGTGCCATTTAAAGCCAGCCAGGCTGGCATTCCTGCAGAAAATGCCATCATATTCTGACACAGGCTGTCTGTGTGATTCCAGGGCTGTTCTGCCCTCCCTCTTGCCGAAGCCTTGACTACCAGCTGGCAAGCGAGGGGGCTGGTGGCAGAGGTGGTTGGGTGTGGCTGCCAGTACCCCCAGGGGCAGTTGCACCATTCCCCAACCTGGGCAGTCTGTTTACAGCTCTAGTGGCGGAGATGGCTATGAGCAGCCTGCCTCTTGTCTGCCCTCTTGAGTGGCTCCATTGGGCACGGTGATGAGGTCACTGACGAGAGGAAGTAGTGGCTTCTAGGCAGACATAGCAGCAGCTATGTCAGGCAGCAGGAGCCAGTGCTCTTAGGGGATCTGGGCCTGGCTGCAGGTCACAGATCCCCTGTGCCTGGTCGCCCAGCTCCTGTCCTTGGGGTGGACACAGCCCCAGGCCCCACACAGCATCATGTTGCTGCCATCCAACAGCCATCAAGCAGTGATGATGGCAACGTCAGCCCGGTTTCCTTAGGTGTCGCCTGCAATTAAAAGAAATCTGTTTGCAGCGCAACAGGAGCCCACGCAGACCCTCAAAATAAAATGTTTCCAATTCTGTGCTGCCTCTGTGGTCCGGAGACAGACTGTGTTGTTATTGAATCCAGTCACTTGCATATTGCTGTTAATTGCCTTTTGTTTTCAAAGAGCGGTTTGTTTTTGTGTTGCTGGGGGTGGGGGGAGGCTGTCCCCTGAGCTGTCAGGCTGGCAGTGTGACATCCCTCCCTCACAGATTCAGCCAAGTGCCGTATTTCCCGGGCTGTGGGAGCTTTGTCACTGAGAGTGAGTGGTTGTGTTCCCCCAGGCCTTCACTTTGGGTGAGAAGCACCCTGAGTTTAAGGATGACATCTACGTTCCCTACGCCCAGTGGCTGGCAGAGAACGACCGCTTTGAGGAAGCCCAGAAAGGTAGGGTGGCCGCGCCTGTCTGTGGGTCCCGGTGGGGCCCGCAGGACATGGGACAAAGTCTTAGAGCTCCGGGGCTGTGCCATCCCTCGCCCAACACAGGCCCAAGGTTACCCGCCCTGTAGTTGCCAAGCAAAGCACCACATCTTCCCTTTCTCCCATCAGCCCTGAGGCGCAGGCACTGTGAGACCATTCCCATCTTGAGATGAGAAAACTGAGTATGAAGTGGGTAGAAGAGCTCCCCTGATGTCCCACAGCTGGGAGGAGGCAGAGAGGTCACAGATTCAGGGGACAGTCCCCACCAGGAATAGGACTCGGGCCACGCCCCAGCTGGGTGGCACAGCAGCATCTGAAGTAGGAGCCAGGGCAGGTGCAGAGCTGTGACTGGTCACGAGCATCGCCATGTAAAACCTGACTGCCCTCCCTGTGGCGGGTGCCGGCTGGCTGGGCATTAACCTGCACAACCTTGAGCCTTGTCAGCCGCCCTGTGGGGACACAGAGGCTAAATGTGCCTTGTGCAGTCGCAGAGCTGGCGAGTGACGGGGCCTGGGCATCCAATCTGTCCGCCTCCCCTGGTGGCACGGGTCTTCTGGGCTGCCTGCTGCTTGGGAAGGTACCCCCTATGTCTTATCCACACTCCCGTGTAGTGTCGTTGCCCCCTTGAACATGGTATGAGCTTGGAGCCCCTCCATCAGAAACTCTGAAGGACGGCCTGTTCTGAAGCACTTCGGCGTTCACAGCGCGCCCAGCTGCTGAAGTATCTGCATGTTTGGGCAAAGCGCATCAACCTCTCCGTCTGTCTGCACCACCCTTCCAAGAATCCATCACCATAGTAACTTGGTGCACAGACAGGAGCCTGGAGAGGGGAGCGGGATGAGGGCCAGGATTCTTTCTCTCCATGGAGGAGGACACAGTCACCTGCATGTCCATGTGTGGGCAGGTGTCACAGCTGGTGGCCCCAAAGGGGTTGGCATGGAGCAGATGCCCAGGAGACATCTGAGAGATGAAAGTAGCAATGATTGAGACATTTACTTGCTCTTTATTGCTAATTCATGGTCTTAAGAGCAGAGCCATCTCTTTCCATGTTGACATCTGACAGCACTGTGGGAAGGGCACCGAGGACCTGGGCTGGCTCCTTGACCTTGAGCAGATGCCACCTGCCTGGCCACACCCAGCTCATCGCATTACCACGGGGCCAGTTTCCCCTCTTCCAGTCTGTTGTGAGGACCCAGTGAGGAGTTAGCTGTGCAGTGCTAGTCAGGGCCATATCCCATTAGTGTCTCCCAGGGGTCACAATGCTTCGTCCCTACCGGGACTTGGTGGCACGTGCCTGTCCTAGTACTCAGGAGAATGAGGCGGGAGGATCGCACTGAGTGCAAGGCCAGCCTGAACTATATAGCTAGACCCTGTCTCAAAAAACCAAAACAAAATTCAAAGCTTTTCCCATGGAGCAGGGTGAACTCTCACTGGCGTGAGCAGTGACTCGCTTCTGCTCAGCCGTGCCTTTCTAAAGCAGGCAGCCATTTCCCAGCCAAGAGCCATGCGCTTTGCACAGGACCTGCTTTGCTCAGCTGTCCGTAACCTAGCAGGTAGCATCCCAGCCACGTGCTTCAGTGATCTGTGCCTGATTCCCGCAGCGTTCCACAAGGCCGGGAGGCAGGGCGAGGCGGTCCGGGTTCTGGAGCAGCTCACATACAACGCAGTGGTGGAGAGTAGGTTCAGCGATGCTGCCTACTACTACTGGATGCTGTCCATGCAGTGCCTGGAGATTGCACAGGGTGAGTGACACCACCCGCTGCTGCACAGATAAAATCAGAGGGCTGGCGAGTGGCAGGCCGCTGCACTGTCCTTCACCATCACATAGAGGCAGTCTGCGCCATCTCGACCAGGTCTGCAGGCATGGTTGGGAGGTTGCTAGGCTGCTGATGCGGAAGAGCCCCCTCCTGCCACCTGAGCCATACGCGGAGGGCCCAGCAAGTGTGGCACAGACAAAGTTAATTAAGTGAAAAGACGAAGCAGAGCTCACTTGGCAATAACAGCTCCAGACTCCCGCTCAGCCCAGGCAGGAAAACAGAGTCCCTGCTGCCTTCTCCCAGCAGACTCCATGGGGCTCTGGGGCAGAGGGACAAGGAGGTGCGCATGGGGTGGGGATATCTGGAGCAGAGGCAGGTACTTGTCAGAGCCACTCTTCCCTCCTGAGGTCCCTGAGTCTGTCCTGGGCGTGGTCCTGCCGCACTGCTTCTGTCAGGTCAAGGGGCCAAAGCTCTGAGGGAGGGACACTGGAGCGAGACTAACCTGTGAGCCTGACACGTGCCGCCCTCAGCCCCAGCCCCCTCCACCTGGCCCTAGCCTCTTGCTGGGGTCCGGTGGCAGCCACAAGCACCAGCGGACACATCATCTCCCCTTCCCTCATGTGACTAGCAGATCCTGCCCAGAAGGACGCCATGCTGGACAAATTCCACCACTTCCAGCACTTGGCCGAGCTCTACCATGGCTACCACGCCATCCAGCGGTTCACCGTGAGTGTGGGCGGTAGATGGGCTGTGAGCGGGGCCTCCTCGGGAGAAACGTGATTTTGCCTGATCCGCCGTTGGACACCCAGGAGACTCCAGGCCAGAGCTGGCCAGGCCATTCTCAAGGCCTGGCTCCAGCTTGGTTTCAGTTTTCAGGGGTGGGGCAAACTCTAGATGGGACTCCCTGCAGTTCTGGGAGGGGACAGGGCTCCCTGGGGCTTTGCCCCACAGGCGGGCAGGCTGCCTGCCTGCCCCCTCCAGCCGACTGACTTGCTGCCAGCTCAATGATTCACCCTCCCTCTCTGGCCCTCTGTTCCCTTCTCTATAAAGCAAGATAGTCAGCTTGATCTTGACCACATACCCTCTGGCCGCTCCCTGATACTCTGGATGAAGGTGTCAAACTCTGTCCACTGGCGGTGGGACTGTGGCAGGTCATCAGCAGCTCTCCACCCTGGATATCTGCTCAGTCAGTGTCCTGCCGCTTGTGACACCTGCTGTGGGGTCCATGTACCAAGGCTGAACTGTATCCACTCCTTTACTGTCACCCCACTCTGTAAGATGCCACCCTCCCCACTCTGCAGACAGAAGCCTACCCTGAGGCAGGGTGCCCTGCCTGCGCTGTCCCCTCTGGCTTGGAGACAGCACACACAAGAGGTGACCCATGGGGCCTCACTGCCCTGGCTGTTACTGCAGCAGGCCTGCTTCCTTGGCCACTCCCTTATTCAGCATGCACCTGCCGTGTGACCAGCCCAGGGGTGAGGCTGGGGCCTTGGACCCTGTGTGAGGAGCACACAGCCCAGTGTGACCACAAGGGGGTCACTGCTACACCACAAGGAAGAGGAAGAGTCCCCTGGTAGCTTAGGGCCTGGCCACTGACAGCACTGCAGACTCAGGTGGGTGGAGACACGTGGATGCGCTGTTCCCTCAACACACAGCTACCTTCCCAGAGGCCAGTCACTGTCTGCTTCTCCTTCTCTGGGGGATGTCACCTCCTCCGCTTCCCACCTGCGCTCAGAGCACCTGCACCCAGAGTGGATGTGGCTTGGGTGTCTTTGGTCTTCGGGTGACAGAGGCCCCAGTGATGTCATTGGGAACTGAGGAGAAGAGTAAGCAAGGCCTCTCGGGTCCATTTAGCTGGGCTGAGCCCCCAGTAGCTTAGGAGGCTTCACTGGTCACTGTGTCCCTGCCTGAGGGAGTGGCAGCCATGAGCATGTGGCAGGCAGGCTCCTCCTGGACAGTGCCCTTGGCTTGTGTAGACCTGAGGACCTGCCCATTTACTCCTGTGTGCCCAGTGCCACCCTAGGGCCTGGGTGCTGGGCTGGGTCTGCCACAGAGGAGCCCTGCTGTGCGTGTTCGTGGGCTTTGGGAGTGAGGAAGGGGGTGCAGTTTCTTGCTGGGCAGGGTTGTTGCTGCATGCCCTCTGTGGCAGTCGTTGAGTCCGGGCTGCATCAAAAAGCTTCTTTCTGAGGCTAATTGGATACGAATTGAGCTCAGGGAAATGGAATCAAGACCGCCTGGGGCAGTGCAGCTGCAAAGAGGAACACCAGCTCTGCTCCAGCCCAGGCATCAAGTTCCTGGTGAATCGTAAAAGCACAGGGAGAGGGAAAGGGCACTGCCCACAGGACTTGGTCTGCAGAGAGCCCAAGGCTATGACCCCAGCTTTCTGCCCAGGAACTCCAGCCCTTCAAGCTCTTCCCACCACAGGAGGAGCCATTCAGTTTCTACCGCCCCGAGACACTGTTCAACATCTCCAGGTTCCTGTTGCACAGCCTGACCAAGGACACGCCCCCGGGCATCTCTAAAGTGTATCCTTCCTGTCCGACTAATGGCCCGAGAAGGCCCCAGAGCACTTTCCTGGCAGTGCTGCCCATTGCCCTCGTGCGCTGCTGTTCCTGGGAGGCCCCAAGGGAGGTCGGGCTGGAGCCAGCAGATTGGCAACCAGGCTCCCAGGCTGAGCCCGTCCTAGTCCCTGGCAGGCGTGCTGCCCCAGCCCAGAGCCCAGGCAGCTGTGAGCGACAAAGCGGAAAGCTGCAGCACCTGGGGCGTGTGGCCTAGTGACCCAGCTAGGCCCTGGGGAGGGACAGGCAGGGGTTGTTCCAGGGAGAGCTTTGCCCACGGCCAGGTGGGGAGGCCCCATGAACATCCGTGGTGGGGGCCAAGGGCTGTGACTGGCTGGAAACTACTAGGAGATGACCAAAATCTTTGAGGTCCTGAGAACCCTAAAAGCCGTAATTGGCCTTCAGTCCTGTGCAGCACTGCCACGCTCCTCCGTAAGGAGCCCGCAGGAGAGACCGAGGGGCTGTGTGAGCATTGACTTTCCTTGGCCCCCCAAATCCAGGGTGCCCCACTGCCTGAGACCCCATGCCTGACAGGGCCCCTTGGCCCGTGGGAGCAGCTGTGGCCAGGCCTGGGCTAGCCCTTCTGAAGTGGCAAGCTTCCGTTTGATTGCTATGGCTCGTATTTGCTAGTCCCGGAGGATGGAAGCACACAAGAAGCCATAGAGACAGAGCAATAAGTCTAATTGTTGCTGGCCAGACCAGAGCCTGCTGATTGGCACATAGGGAGCTTTGAAGCTGCTTAGATTCAATTGCTGCCTTTTGGCCACCTCTTGTCACCATCATGTTTCCCTACCCACTTCCTGCATGTTTACCTGAGGAACACGATGTCTGGGGCCTGCTTCCGTGACTCCATTTTACAGATTATAGGCTCAATGCATGCATTAAACACCATGGGAGCTAATCAGTCTAGTCTGGGCCTGGCGTAATTAAACTTACTGCTGTGTCTCTGCAGTTCCTGGTGTGCCTCCATCCTCCCGGACTAGCAAATGCGAGCCATATAAATCAAACAGAAGTTTGCAGCTTCACTTCCACCTCCAGGGTTTGCTGCATCCCTGCCCTGCACTCCAACCTGGCCACCCCTGGGGTCTCAGAAATGGCTCCCAACAAGGCCCAACTTAGAGGAGAGAAGAGTAGGGGACAGACCTCCTGGGGGAAAGACACCCGGGCACCAGGGCCCATCTGCCTCAGGCCAAGGAGCTGGCACCGGCAGGGACTGCTGCGTGCCCCCAAGCCTGGCTGAGACAGCAGTGTCCTGGTCTCTGGGAGAGCCTGGGGCCTAGGTCCCGAAATGCACTTCTTCGGCCAGTGCCCACCACGAGTCGCCGCTGCTGTCCTTAACCTTGCCGACGCTGGCAGGAACACACTCTACACCCTAGCCAAGCAGAGCAGGGCCCTGGGTGCCTATAAGCTGGCCCGGCACGCCTACGACAAGCTGCAGGGCCTGCGGGTCCCCGACAAGTTCCAGAAGTCCATCGAGCTGGGCAGCCTGACCATTCGCTCCAAGCCCTTCCACGACAGCGAGGTGAGGATGCTGTGGGGCCCACGTGGCTCCATCCCTGCCACAGCCCCTCTGCCAGGTTCAGAGCAGATTGGCATCAAACAGACTGGGGTTGGACTCCCACCCATTTCCTGTGCTGCCGGGTGGGGACACAGGGCAGTTTGAGGGTAAAGGGGCAGCACAGGGAGTGCCCAGTACAGGCTCAGCGCATAGCGAGCAGGCTGTGATGGTGACTGCCCTTGCTGTCCTTGTACGCGTATCCCACTGCACCCCATGTGTGTGTCTGGGCTGAGGGCCCATGGTGTGGCCTTGGCTGTCCCTAGAGGCCAGGATCCAGCTTCGCCACACATAGCCTGGGACCCAGGGACCTGTGGTCCACCAGGGACTGTGGCTGGTTGGGGGCTCTGCCCCTGCGCTGGCATGGCCTCAGCTCGTACTGTCCACAGGAGCTGGTGCCCTTGTGCTACCGCTGCTCCACCAACAACCCACTGCTCAACAGCCTGGGAAATACGTGTGTCAACTGCCGCCAGCCCTTCGTCTTCTCTGCCTCCTCCTACGGTGAGTCCTACAGAGGCAGGGCTGGGCCGGAGCTCTTGGCCCAGCTCCCCCTGGGGGGAACAGGAGCCAGAAGCCCCTGGCAGGATCTGGGCAGAGGCTGCACATCTTCCCATCTCTCCCTGGGAAGGGCCCCCCATCCCTGCTGCCCCCACTCCCCTGGGGAGGCCCTGGCACCACTGTTCCTGATGCCACCCGCCCATGTGCACAGAGGTGCTGCACCTGGTGGAGTTCCAGCTGGAGGAGGGCATCAGCGATGAGGAGGCTGTGGCCCTCATTGACCTGGAGGCACCACGTCACCAGCGGGAGGACCGGTGGCAAGAGGTCACAAGTGGTGGCATCCTTGGCTGGGCCAGCCTGGGTGGGGCGGGAGCTGCAGCTACGGTAAGAGATCCATGGGTTCCACCTTAACCAGACCCCAGATTCCCAGACCCTGAGGCTGGATGAGACCAGGGACATCACAGGGGATGACGACCCTTTCACAGCCAAGCTGAGCTTTGAGGTGAGGCCCACGGGGACCCTGGGGGTGGCTGAGACAACCGTGACCCCTTGCTGTGGGGAGAGGGAGACCTGGGGATCTGGGGACTGCTGAGGCTGCCTGGGGACACTGGACCCACCTCAGCCACCCCAGCGATCATGGACTGTGTTGTCTGTCCCCCTGCAGCAGGGCAGCTCAGAGTTCGTGCCGGTGGTAGTGGGCCGTGCAGTGCTGCGATCCATGAGCCGCCGCGACGTCCTCATCAAACGCTGGCCCCCTCCCCTGCGCTGGCAGTACTTCCGCTCGCTGCTGCCTGACGCCGCCATCACCATGTGCCCCTCCTGCTTTCAGGTACCTGTGTGCTTTGGGGTCCTGGGGGTCCCTGCATGGGTCGGGGCGGAGACCTGGCACCCAGCCTCAGGCCTCGGTGCCATCCCGTCCCTGGGCAGATGTTCCACTCTGAGGACTATGAGCTGCTGGTGCTCCAGCGCAGCTGCTGTCCCTACTGCCGCCGGCGCATTGACAACCCAGGGCCGTGACCAGGGCTGTGCCAGTGACCGCTCTGTGGCCCAGAGTTGGACAGCAGCGAACTAGTGATGAAGTCCGTTCCTGGGAGGGCCTGGCGTTGCCATGGAGCCCCTGTTCATGGCTGCGCCTGCCTGTGCATAGTGCCAGGAGCCAGGAAGAGGACACTCAGCTGTTTTCTAAGAGAAACCCTGTTCCTTTTGGAGCAGCCTGCTGGAGGGCGTGGACCTCAGGCCAGTGGCCTGCACTGTGCCCCCACATTGCATCATAATGATAAATAAAGGACTACATATTTTCATCAATGTCTCCATTTTAGCAGATCTTCATATTGTCTGCAACTTAATTTCCTTATGTAAAAGTGCACCTGTTTCTAATTTGATCTGGGAGGAACATTGCATTTGTGTGCTCTTAAAATTTAATCTAATTGAAACAGCAGCCTGGGAGGAGTAAAGGAGTGGGGAGTTTTTGCTGTTGTTTATTTACTTTGGCTCGATGGGGCACTCTTGGGACAAGACAGTAAGATATCTGCTCCAGAGAAGACGCCAGAAAGCTTGGCACACAGGCCCTCCCCCAGGTCCTCAGACACACGGGTCCCTTTGGAGGTCCTGGGTGCCGAGGGCCGTGGGTGCAGGAGGGGTGGTGGGTGGTGACCTGGGGACCGAGGGCCTGCTGGGGACTTTTCCACACCAGCCCAGCCCATGTGTTGTCTCGGCTCTGCTTCATAGCCCTGGAGTGGGCCACTGCCCCTGCCGGGCCTGCCCAATCCTGATGAAGACCCCTCACCGTGAAGTGGGGGCTGTGGAGCACCCCCAGCCTGCCTCTCCCACCCATCTCCGTGGAGACAACAGGGAGATGGAGAAGGGAGCCAGACAGTTGTGCCAACAGAACTCCTCCACTGAGCGCCTAATTATTGACGATCATGCACGCTCTCTCCCGCTAAACAGTTATTAATGTGTTAGGATTTCCATTAGCGCATTTCTTGAACTGAAATCATTTGCATATGGCAGGGAAAGAGGGGCTCAGAGAAAAAAGCTCAGCTTCCCAACAGGCGTCAATCACAGTGACAGATTAGAGGGTCCCTGTGTGGCGGGCAGGAGAAGTGACCTGTGGCAGAGGCAGAGGCTGAGCTTGGGCCACCCTGGCCGATGAAGGCCAATGCAGTTCTCAGGCTGCACCCTCCGCACCGTCCTGGCCACACCCATCCTCCTCCAGTTTCCCTGCTGTACACAGGACCCCCTCCAGCCCAGCCCTGCCCGCGACAGGTGTGGGGGCTGAACAACCTCCTGTCCCGGTTCCCGCAATGGAGGACAGAGGGAGGCTGGAGCCGGGCCTGGTAGGGTGGGGCCTTTGGGCCTCAGGCTGCTGAAGCCAGGGGCCCCTTGTGCTGTGGCACTGGCAGGAAGATGTCTGATCCCTGGCATGGGGCTGAGCAGCAAGGGAAGGGGCGAACTGGGTGGTGAGAGCCCATCCAGGCGGCCACAGTGGTCAGGCCTCGCCCCACTGCTCCATCCTGACCCCAAAGCCCGTGTACAGGCCAAGGAGGAGGACGGGAGTGAGGAGGGGCTGCTGACTCAGCAGCCTAGGAACTCGGCCCTAATCTTCCTGCAGTCACTTCTGGGGCTGAGCTGGAGCTCCCCCAGCCCCCGTCACCCCAGCCTAGGGGTTGGGACTCGGAAAGTCACTCCAGCCAGGGGCATCCCCTCACACCACGGGTCCACAGGACCACACCCGTGCCCTGCCAGGCAGAAGACACACCAGCCATGCCATATGCAGAAATGCGCAGGACAGCGGACCTGTGTGGGGGCATCAGGGTGATGCCCAGGTGGCAAAAGTCCCTCAGATGAACATGCAGTCACTCTGAAGCACAGTGACAGAGGGAAAGTGGGAGACTCCAAGGGTCTCATGGTGAGGCAGAGGCCTCTCTCAGAGGCACTGCTGTGGCCCAGCCTATGTGGCTCAGTTCACGGTCTTCCCACCACCCTGGCTGAGCTGGCCTCCAGTCACTTATACTAGGGTGTGAAGAGCTGACACATCTTTCCTGGACGCTGTCTCTGATAGGTGAGGGAAGAAGCAACAGATACCTCAGAAAGCCACAAGACTGCAGCCCAGACTATCAGATTCATCACGTGGGCTGGGTGACCACTGCTGACTCCATCTCTCTAGCTGCACAATGGAAGCAGTGGGGAGGATTGGCACGGGTGGCATCTGAAACCCTCAGTCCCTCCTGAGTTATCTTTAAGACCTGTTGTCCTGCCTCACAGCATGGCAGGGACTGGTTAAAGTGTCAGCACGGACAGAGGGACCGGGCTTGCCACTTGCTTATCCAACAGACCCTCCCAGAGTAGCTGCTGTGCACTGGGCAGGAACAGAATGGATGAAACCCAGCTCCCCTGGTGCCCTACATGCCAGACACCATGCTAGGCTCAGGGCCCATCCTGAGCCACCAGCCAGGCCCAAGGCAGTGCACGAGGGAGCCGCAAAAGCACCAGGCCACACTGAGGTATGCCAGAGTCACCCCTGCGTTGCTACGGGTGCTATACCCCACCTTGACCTCATTAACACAGCCTAATCGCCCAGCCAAGCACCTTAATGGCAGAGGCCACCTCCAGCCCATGGTGAACTCAGCCCTCTGTGGCCAAGCCCTGTGAGACCCTGAGGCTGCTGGGAAGGGCAGGGGCTATGATGAGGGAGGCTTCAGAGCAGACAGTTTGAGGTCCCAGCTGCAGAGACTCTCCCTGTCTGGGCTTCTATCTCTACCTCAGGGCCTTTGCACAGCAAGCCCTCTGCCAGACACTCAGTTCTCAGCCTTCCTGGCTGCTCTGGGTCATGTTCCTGAGCTCATTCCTGGCTCATAACCCCTGCCACCCACTCGCCATTGGTGTCCCCTACATCAAAAACCTCATCTGGGATGCCACAGGCGCTCTGAGCACACATTAGCTGGACCACGGCTACCAAAACTCCCACAGCCACTCCAGCCTCCCCCTTCATCCCAGATGTCACTGAGTGCCTGTCACAGACTTTCTTGCCCATGCTATGTGGCACTGCCATGGCTGGGGCAGAGATGCAGAGTTTCAATGTCAGCTTCCTGTCAGATGGGGTCCCCAACCCCAGACCAGATTCAGGAGCCCAGGACACTGGAGGCCTCTGCTCTGTCACCTGCCACCTGACAACCCCTCAGGGCGTTTGAGCCTGAGCCTCTGCCCCTGGATGCATCTGGCTCTGCGGCTGTCCCCACCACCCTGACCTTGTCCCACACGACTCCCAGGCCTCCCAGGCATGTGGCTCCTTCCCCACAGCCAGGTCCACCCTCCCAGGCCGCATCCTCTTCCTTCCCCATCCTGGTGGCCCAGGGACAGCTCATGAGTGCTCAGTGACAGCCCAAAGGAGTGCATTCTTCATCGCCACTGGGCTCCAAGGACAGAGGCAAGACCAGCTCGTGCAAGGTGGGCACAGGTGTGGGGTCCCCAGGACCCTGATCTGGGCCATCAGAAGGAGATAAGCAAGCACTGGGGGTCTGGGGTGGATAAGTCAGGGTGGCCTCTTCCCATCCAAGGTCCCACGGGGCCCCCTCCACTCCTGGGCATCCGTCGGTCCCCATGGTGTCACCTTGTCCCCCTGCGAGCCAGTTAGCCCCCCGTGGGAGCGTGGGATTAGTATGATTATGTGCCAATCTCCAGCAGGCTGAGTCAGCTCAGCTTAGCCGCAGAGGTCACTTCATAAGGGCCTGGGGGGGGCCAGGGCCAAGAGTCGCCCCGGAAGCCCCAAGCTGCACGGGCCTTGCCAGCTTCCTTCTCCCCCACAGGTGGAGCCCCCGCGCCCACGGGGCAGACCAGTCCGCAGCCATGAACGGCACGGAGGGCTCCAACTTCTACGTGCCCTTCTCCAACATCACGGGCGTGGTGCGCAGCCCCTTCGAGTACCCGCAGTACTACCTCGCTGAGCCCTGGCAGTTCTCCGTGCTGGCCGCCTACATGTTCCTGCTCATCGTGCTGGGCTTTCCCATCAACTTCCTCACGCTGTACGTCACTGTGCAGCACAAGAAGCTTCGCACGCCGCTCAACTACATCCTGCTCAACCTGGCTGTGGCCAACCTCTTCATGGTCATCTGCGGCTTCACCACCACCCTCTACACCTCCATGCATGGATACTTCGTCTTCGGGCCCACGGGCTGCAACATGGAGGGCTTCTTTGCCACTCTGGGTGGTAGGTGTAGGCGTTGGGCAGGGGACTAGGGAGTCTGGCGGGTATGGGACAAGCACAGAGGCTTCTCCTCAATCCTCTCCTGTCAGCATTAGCCAAAGTTTCCATTTAGTCATTCAACAAACTCTTTGTGGTACTGAGGCAGGCTGCTGTTTGTTTGTTTTTTTGTGTGTGGTTTTTTTTTTTGTTGTTGTTTTTTGTTTTTTGAGACAGGGTCTCACTGTATAGTTGAGACTCACCTGGAACTCACTATGTAGCCCAGGCTGGTCTTGAACTCACAGCCTCCCGAGTGCTGGGATTAAAGGCGTGCGCCACCACGCCCGGCTTCAGGCTGCTGTTTCTGAAGGGCAGGTACCCCTGCTTTTAACTCCCATTGAGCAGGCCTCTGTTCAGCTTTGGGGTTTGGTTTGATTTGGTTTGGTTTTTTGAGACCAGAATCTCCCTGTGTGGCCCAGGCTGACTTCCAACTTGTGGTCCTCCTGCCTTGGTCTCAAGTGCTGGGATTACAGGTGTGTACCATCACTTTTGAATTGTATTTATTTATTTCCTTTTTGGTACTGGGGATCGAACTCGGGTCCCTGTTCTTGCAAGGCAGGTGGCAGCCCCACTCTGTTGAATTTTTACAGCAAGGAATTTGGCGTATGGGGCAGTCAAGGGCCTTCTGGCCCATAGGGAGAATGACCAGTCCTAGCCCACATTTGCTGGCTGCCTGGGAGAGAAGGCAAAGACAGACCCTGTCCTCCAGCAATGTCCCTGTCTGAGCCAGGAGCATCTGCCCCAGCCCCAGCCTCCTTGTGTTGGGGACCTGACCCTCTCCACAGCAGCACCTTTCCCTGGAGTGCTAGACCTGGGTGCAGACCCATCAGTTCCAAAGTCCATCTGGGAAACAGACGGTGCTCACTCAGCGGGTAAGGAAACTGAGGCAGCGAGGAGACAGGGCAGGGACCAGTGTCCCCCTGATGCAGACCCAGGAACCTGTTCCAGGCATGGGAGGATGGGAAAGGAGAGCACAGCACCAGCTGGTGTGTCCTGGATGCTGCTGCCATGAGGTCACAGCTCCGGTCTTTGCCACACAGTTGGGTCCCCACAAGGCCGGCCCCAGGCTGGGATAGGTTTTGGTAACATTCCCTCCCAAGGTGTCAGTCGTGTGACTGTTTGGGTGACGTGTGGGCAGGTGTCTGAGGCCACCTGGGCAAAGCATCACCCTGTCTGTAGGGGTCCAGTAAGAGGGTCCCCTGTGAAGCCGATATCTATAGAGCCCCCTGCAGCCACCCAGTCCACTCAGGACCCCTGCCGGCTCCCCAGGAGGGCAGCTGTGGGTGCTTGTGGGCAGCAGTGGACTGATGGCCACTGTTGCCTTCAGGTGAGATTGCCCTGTGGTCCCTGGTGGTGCTGGCCATCGAGCGTTACATGGTCGTCTGCAAGCCCATGAGCAACTTCCGCTTTGGCGAGAACCATGCCGTCATGGGTGTCGCCTTCACCTGGGTCATGGCGCTGGCTTGTGCCGCACCGCCCCTCGCCGGCTGGTCCAGGTAATGCCATCCCTAAAGCCAGTGGGGCAGGCACGAGGGTGCTGGTTCCTCCCCCAGGCCCTCCATCAAGGAGACTCCTGGGTCCCCTGACCCTTCATCTTGGCCCAGCCCCTAATCCTCAGCTAAGCCAGGCCCACAGCCGATCCTCTTTGTCCACCCTGTGCTGACCTTGGGCAACATGTGGCAGCTTACCTCAAAGACAGGGTGACATGTGATCCTTGGAAAAGGTTCCCCAACCTCTGGGCACTGTCTACAAGAGGGCTGAGATGAGAGGACGTAGAGACAGAGGTTTGGACAGCCAGCTGGGTGTCTGATGTCCAGAGCCTGCGTCCCTCTGTTCCAGGAAATTTGCACCTCCACTTGCCGGCCTACACGCCCTCCATGTCCCCTTTCTTGCCCAGCCTCCTCTGGCCTTGCTTTCTCTCTCCCCGTCCTGGCCCAGTGCAGCCCTGATGGTGCAGCTCATGGTCAAGTGATATTGGTCCGCAGAAGTCGCCAAGACACCCTGACCATTCATTCCTCAGGACCTAGTATTCCTAGAGCTGCTCAAAGACCCCTTCTGAGTGCCCCTGTGTTCATCTCTGGCCTAGAAAATACTAACCCTTTGTAGCTGGAAGGCCCGGCCCAAGGTCCCTATCTCCACCGATAAGGCCTCCAGCTGACAGGTCAAGGTGGCAAGGATTGCCGAGGGTTGGCACGGTTGTGGGGACCATGTATGGTCCTCTGAACCTAGCCAGGCAGGCAGCTTCTGGTCGCTTGGGAATGGGTGCTCACAGGCACTGGTCCTCAGGTACATCCCCGAGGGTATGCAGTGCTCATGCGGGATTGACTACTACACACCCAAGCCTGAGATCAACAACGAGTCCTTCGTCATCTACATGTTTGTGGTCCACTTCACCATCCCCCTGGTCATCATCTTCTTCTGTTATGGGCAGCTGGTCTTCACCGTCAAGGAGGTACGGGTGGGGGACCCTTGGGTGGTGCCTGGGTGGGTGACATTGCTGGGCCCCACCATCTGGACACGAGCCCTGTGCCCCCACAGGCAGCAGCGCAGCAGCAAGAGTCGGCCACAACCCAGAAGGCGGAGAAGGAGGTCACCCGCATGGTCATCATCATGGTCATCGCCTTCCTGATCTGCTGGGTGCCCTACGCCAGCGTGGCCGTGTACATCTTCACCCACCAGGGCTCTGATTTTGGCCCCATCTTCATGACCATCCCGGCGTTCTTTGCCAAGAGCTCCTCTATCTACAACCCCGTCATCTACATCATGATGAACAAGCAGGTGCCTGGCATGGGTCCCCAGGGCGTGGGCCTGGTTCCAGGTGGAGGAGGGGCTCTGAGGTCCATGTCAATGTCTTGGCCCCACCTTGGGCTGCTGGATCTGAATCTCAACTGGGCCCGGGACACTGAGTTTCTCACGAGCCCTCCAGATAACCCTGTGTTGGTCAAGTGTGACAGGCACCGGCCCTGACGGCTCTGGAAGCTGGCTCGGAAAGCCAACCAGCCCAGAACTTGGGAAGGGGACAGCCCCAAACACAAAGCTGGGAAGGGCGGAGCCCCCTTACCGAGGCCAAGGTTCCTTGAGGGGAACAGTCTCTGCAGCCAGGCATGCTGGGTTCAGATGTTGGCTCTGCTGTCTTCTAGCTGGGAAACCTTGGGCAAGTCAACTAACCCCTGCTCTGGGCCTCAGTTTCCTCTTCCATAGAAAGGGTGAAATCCCAGACTCTGTAATTAAATGAGAAAATTACAGAATGTCACAGAACACATCACCAGCAGCCAAGGCCCCTCATGCTAGGCTCCTGGTATCTCTGGGGGCCGGGGTGGCATCACCCAGGACACATGTCCCCACACTGACCTGGCCCCTTGCCTTCCAGTTCCGGAACTGCATGCTCACCACCATCTGCTGTGGCAAGAACCCACTGGGCGATGATGAGGCCTCCACCACTGCCTCCAAGACCGAGACCAGCCAGGTGGCCCCAGCCTAAGCCCTGCTGGGGCCCCTGCAGCCGATTGTAGGACCCCTCGTCCCCACAGCCACCCCACCAAGAGCGTGCCTGCCATAACACAGCCACGCAGGCCCCTGAATTTGTTTCTTTTTAAATAGTCAGAGAAAAATGAGGCTCCCCACTCCACAGGGACAGACTGAGAAGGGACACCCACACAGCCCCCCGATCTGGAGTCCCCCACTCCCAGGGGCTGGGGGTCTGTTCCCCTCTCCCACCTCGTCTCAGGAATGCAAGAGCTCTTGCTCTCCAGAAAAGTGCCCCACCTTAGGGCTAAGTATCTAGCACACAATGGGGCACAAAGTAGGTGCTTAATAAATGCTAGCTGGATGAAGGAAGGAATGGGTGAAGAACGAACAGAGGAACAAGTGAAGGGTGAATAGACTCTCAGACCTCATGGCGCACAGGGATGAATCGAGCAGTGGTTCCCCACCATGACGCGGGACCCCAAAGCCCGGCCCTGACAGCACATGCTGTGAAGACCAAATGAGATTGTGTGTGTGTTCATGTGGGTATGTGTACACATGTGCATGTGTGTTTAAGCCCTTTGTAAATAGGAGCTGTACAGATTGCAGTCTACATTATGAACAATATCAACTAATAGAATTAATGAATTATGATGGACACGTCTGCTTGACAGTCACAACTTGGGGATCAGCCAGGTCCCAGCATTCAGACACCCACACCCCTGCACCCAGCAGGGGTGGTTTCAAAACCAGCCTGGGGCCCACTGTGGGTGGCAGGGAGACAGCTCCAGGGATGCAGGGTGAAGCCAGAACACCAGAGAAAGCAGCTCAGGGCCTGTGGCAGCCAGGCCTGTCCCCAGCATTTGGAAGCTGCCTGTTGTTTCTCCCCAGTATCTGGGCCACAGCCACTCTGTCCGCACTTAACAGAGAGCTGAGTCCCCAGTGTCAACTGGTCTCAGAGAGCTCAGAAACAAAGAGGCATCTGGCCAAGCTACCACTCCAGGAGCTCCTGGGTCCTGGTTTCCAGCCCCCTTATGGGATCAGCCCATCTTCAGCAGCCTCAGCCTGTTCCCCTCCTACATTCTGCTCTGAAGTTGGTTGCAACTTTGGGTCAGAATCGAGCTGTCTCAGCTACTGCCAGAGCCCAGGGGCCAAGACCCATGGGTCATTAAAAGCTCGTCAGCTCAGTCCTAGTGGCCATGGGGTGGTTTCTTGCTCTCATCCTCTTCACCTGCAGGGTGGACTGGCACAAGCCACTCCCACCTGAAAACTGGCCCTGAGGGGTGAGCTGCCCAGTGGGCAGAGGCAAGCAGCCCTCTGTCATTGGGGATCAAGGAGGGCACCTGGCCTGGGAGTTACAGAAACACAGGGACCTCTGTAACCTCTGCGAGCTTCCCTGAATCCAATCTTGAGGGATTAGCAAGCCTGGGACTTCTGGGTGTGCAGTCAGTGAGAGACTCTGGCATCTCCAGGCTCAGAACTGGCTGTACTGGATTCTGGGTCCCCAGGGGAATGGATGGAGACAGGGCTGGGAGTGCCCCATCCTCCTGAGTGACAGGTGACCAAGATCAATGCTGTGGGAACCACAGCCAACTGAGGTAGGTGGTGGTAGAGACCTTGATCACAGCCCCTTAGCTTTCTCTCTGGGTGGTGGCAGGCAGGACGTCCCTGGGATCAAATCATGGGAAATGCAGCTCAGTTGGGCTGCAGGACGGGCACTGTTATTCTCACAGAAATGAAAAGCCACGGACATGGATGGGTGCAGGGGCACATGTGACATGCTCTGCTCTATCTCTCCCTCTCTGGCTACACTGTTCCTGTGTCGGGTTCATTCTCAGGCTGGTGCTTCTGATGAGGTGGCAGAAGTGGTGACCCTGGTTCCAGGTTCAGCAAGTGGGTGTCTCAGTCCCCTTAGTACTGCCATGGTCCCACATAGGGCTCTGATTGGCCAGGCCTCAGTCATATGATCATCCTTCAGCCCATCACTAAGCCTGAGCTGAGACTCTTCATCCTCTTATTGGCCAGGTCAGGGTCACATGATCATCCTTGCTGGGCTGGGATACATTCTCTGATTATCGAGGCCCAGTCACCTGATCACCCTGAGCCCAGGATAGAATCAAGTCAAGCACAGGACCCAAGTTCGATCCCAGTACAAAAAAAAAAAAAAAA